TGGTGTGTCATAGCATACACCTGTAGTCCCAGCTACTTGGGAAGCTGAGGCAGAAGAATTGCTTGAACCTGTAAGGCAGAGGTTGCAGTGAACTGAGATCATACCACTGCACTCCAGCCTGGGTGATAGAGCAAAATTCAGTCAAAAAAAAACCACAAAGATTAAATTGTAAATTTAACCACTATCTTTACTCCTTATATTAAAAGAGATAAAGGGAAAAACATAGTTCACATATTCACATATATAGTGGTATGCTTTAGTACTCACATTAGAATAACTTTCTTTATCTACCCTATTCCATGATACTTTGCCCCCAGCCACAATCTCAGTTAATATTGTCCTTACTTGATGGAAATGAGCCAAATCTTGATTGCTGAAGGTCTGAGTCCTTAGTGGAGTAGCCCCTTTGGGTTGTCTAAGCTTCTAACAATTCTTCCCATTGAATATTAGAGCACTTCAGGAAACCTCCTTCATTCTGGATATAATTCTCTCTGTCTCCACTATACAGCAACAACTTAACTTCTTCTTGGTAATCAGGATCAATCATCGAAAAATCATGGTAATTCCTTATTTTTCTGTTGGTTCAGTAAAATAAGGACCCCAAAATGGCCATGTAGCAGAACAACTTCCATTTCAATGAAAGAATTAGATCCAACATTCGAAACATTTTTTATTATGAAGAGAAGCCCTCACAACAAACACAGCCCACAATTGTGGGCATTGGGGGAAAATAGCTGTTCACTTTTCTTCCTATTTAATGTATTAGGGTAAAACAATGTCATATATGATGTCTAGTAAAAGCTGATACTACATGGTGTATGGAAACACATTTGTAAATTATTGTCTCTCAGCGGGCACTGTATCTAATACGTCATTAGGGCATTTTATGTTTCTGTTAAGGCAGCTGCTTCTAAGCCAATAAGTATGTAGTAAGATCAGTGAATTGTATGACACCATTGCTGCACTTCTTTTGCTTTATAATAAGTTCTTTGGTTAGAAGCAATACAGTACAAAATGTCTTGATGGTGAATATGACACACCAAAGGCCTTCTGATGGTGGCTTCTGGCACCAGCTGAGAGACCATAATCTACATTTTGAGTGTTTCCAAACACCATGTAGTATCAGCTCTTACTAGATATCATATATGATATTGTTTTACCCTAATACAGTAAATAGGAAGAGAAATTAACAACTATTTTCCCTTGTGCCCACAACTATGAGCCCTGTTCTTTGTGAGGGCTTACTTTCATAATAAAAAAATGTTGGTGGTGGAAGAGACATTGGAAGTAGAAAAAGAAGATGAAGTATCCAAAATAAATGGCAGAGCAATCACTCTGATACCAGGTGGTTGCCTGGTCTCCCCAAGGAATAGTGCCATATCAGGATATGAGCTGGGCCTCTGCTGTTAAACCTGTGCATGCCCACAGCAAGGGTGGTAGTCAAATAGCTTTGGTAAGAGAAGGTCTGTATTGTTGAGCCCTTGCAGAATCTCTATACCTGCCACTGTGGCCACTTTATACATGAGTTCATTGATCAAGCCCTAAAGAGTCTAGGAAATTGGAATCTAGATGACATCAACAGACCAGGTCATCATGTACACATTTTCTGTGGTAGTTAAGCATTTTCACTAAGCTTCTGTTATTTAGGAATTTCATAATTTCCACTAAAACTAGGCAGCCTGTTTCAAACTTGGCGTTTTCCAATATCATCTCCAGTCAACAAAAGACAGCCACCACAAAACTCATCTCCTTTAATTTTCTTATGGATGATTGTAAAATTATATAAAAGAATAGAAACAGCATAATTATTCCACTATTACTCCAGCACTCAGCTTCAACGACTATCAGTTCATAAGCCATCTTCTTTCACCTGTATTCATATTCACCCACCCATCACAGTTTTGAGGATTCTAATACTTCTCTCACTCATAAATTTCTCAATATCTGAATGAAGAGAGTGTTATGTGTGAAGGGGCTGACCAAGTCACAAATAACAAATGCAGTCTGTTATTTGACTCTCAAAGCTTTAGAATTTTTCTTCACTTTTATGCCAAGAAGTTGTACATGCTCAACATTATTAAATATAAGCCGCATTAAAGTCTGATGGTGTGTCCACAGTTGAGCCATTCCTAGCTACTCAAGATAACACATGGCAAATAGAATCTCTGTAAATCTTTCTTTGTTCCAAAATCTTTAGAATCTTTCCCACACATATTCTCCAAATTTAAGCTAAAGTGAATAAAACTAATAATATTCTTAGTAAAACTTTTTGTATTTAAGTCACATTTCACTGGGTAAGATTATATACTTGTCCGCCAGGTGTTTGCTAAAATCAGACTCAAACTCTAGCTTTGAAGGCAATGAAGCATGGTGGGGATAGGTCTTATGAACAGGCATCCACTTGAAAGTAACTTCCTTAGGGGAGGTAATTGCAGGGCCTTGAAATAAAAAAAAATTTAAAAAAAGACTAATATCCTTAAATATGGGAGACTATTTCTGCTAGCAATAGAAAGTTCAATGAGATTTGAGGGTTCAAGGTCATCGGATTTACCTACGTCTACCCAAATATCCCTATTTCAAACCCCAGAGTTCCATTCTTTCCCAATTAATACTCTAAAATGTACACAAGATCATGTGCTTTTAGTTTCACATAAGATACATGATGAGGCAGTAAATTCAACTTACAATGTAATTCTGGAATTTCACTTTTAGGTTTGGGATGGGATTTGTGATCTTCCCTGAAACTACAATAAATGAGTGAATATTTTAAGAGCACAGTGAAATTTCCCTGGTTCCCTGACCTGCCTTGAACTAAGACTTTAAAGCATCAGGCTTGTAATTTTGTTTCTATAAGCAATCCAGTGCAGTATTAGAAAAAAAAAATCTTTCCCCACAGTCTTTAGTAGTCATCATCACTACTATGGCAGTTGAATTCATTGACCACTTTATTTTACAGAGCCTTGCCTTATGAAGGCCTTTCATCTAAAGCAATGTCAAATAAGCTGAATGCAGTGGTTCACTCCTAGAGACCCAGCTACTCAGGAGGCAGAGGTGGGCCAGAAGTTTAAGACCAGCTAGGAGGCCAGGAGTTTAAGACCAGCTAGACTGAGTGGTAGGGCAAGACTCCTTATCTAACAAATAAATAAATAAACAGGAAAATAAATTTTGAATAAAGCCACAACAGCTAATTTGGTAAATGTGATGTCGTGGCATGTCATGGATTAGCAGTAACCCATTTTCCACTGGTAATAAGGTCATCTTTATATTCAAACTGTACAAGCTACCTAACCCAAGAATCACATCATTGAATTAACAAAACAAAACAAAACAAAAAAACAAATGGGAGCACCTTATTGTTTTAAAACAATAGACTGTAATTTAGAGGTCTAATTCAGGAGCATTGCTACATTGTATTGAGTCTGAGAGAAGTAAAATAAAAAAGTACACCAGAGATTAGTAATTGCTGAAAGTGGCTACTTTATCAAATTCTTGGAAAACAAAAGTGACAAGATGGTGTAATCAGAGCCCAGAAGAACACTCAGTGCTTCCCTGCTAGAGTGGCTAGTTTAGACAGTGCTGAAACCATGAAAAAGGAGGCCTGTAGTTTGTCCTAGAACCATGCAAGAGGTACCATTGAAGCTGAAGTTGGATTGCTGTTGGGTGGAAAGGATGTAGTCACTCAAGAATGCTGCCAGAAGAAGAGCAAGAGAAAAGAACAATAGCTTATCCCTTGAGACATTCTCATCCCTCCACTAGTGTCTTCTCTTGGAAGGATGTGAGTAGAGGTCTGCTGTCAACAAAGGCTAAGGAATGCATTTTGTAGACCCCTATTCTCAGTATTTCAGAGCCGAGAAGGGTGGGGTGAGAGACAATAGACAAATACACACTGTAAGCAATATGACTTAGAAAAATCTTTCAATTGTTTCTGCGTATTTCAGTTATTATGTGTAATTTCAATTATTCTGAGCCATTTCCCTCTAGATAAGAAGGATTCCATTTGATTCCCAGGTGAATATAAACATTTGACTCAAGTTTATTAAGCATCCACTACATAATTATTGTTTGTATCCTGTAGAAATGGTGGTAAACAAGAATAATGCCTATATTCTAGAAATGGAGGTAGATAATAGGTAGACAGCAAATAAATATGTAGTATAAGTTTAGATGTTGAAAAAAGCTATGAAGTGAAGTAAAATATGATAAAGGTATAGAAGACACAGAAATTAGTGGAATTTTTCAATAGGGGCTTTGAGGAATTTCTTTCTGAAAGGTCATGAATGAGCACAGATCTGAAAAAGTATGTGAGTGTGACGGTGAATTTTATGTGTCAACATGAAAGATATTTTTGGATGAGATTGACTTTTAAATCCATGACCTTTGAGTAAACAAGAATGGCCTCCATAATGTGGGTGGTCCTCATCCAATAAGCTGAAAGCCTGAATAGAACAGAAAGGGAAATCTCCAACAGATGGCATTCAGAATTTTTCTGTACCATCGGCTGTCCTGGGTCTCCAGGCTGCTGGCCAATATTGCAGATTTTAGACTTGCCAGCCTCCATAATCACGAGTCAATTACTTACAATAAATCTTTTTCTATATATACACACACATCATATTGGTTCTGTTTCTCTGGAGAACTCTGATAATACAGCAAGTGGTGCCTGAAAGGCTCCATGTAGGAGCATTCTGGGCCTATGCAGTAGCAAATGTCAAGGTCCTAAGAAAGGAACAAGCTTGTCACAATGAAGAAACATCAAAATGGGATACTATAGCCAGTGTGGAGTGAGTGAGAGAACAGCAGCAGGTGATACGACTAGAGAGCTTTAGAGGGGTCCTATTACATAGGTGTCTCAAGAACTCTAGAGGGAGAGCTCTAGAGGGGTCCTAATAGACAGTGTCTGTGGCTACGGGAAGGATTAAGGATTTTATTCTTATTGTGATGAGAAGTCAGTAGAGTGTTTTGATCAGGCAAGAACCTAATCTAATTTTAATTTTCAACAGATCGCTGTGACTGCTATATGGAGAAGTGACGTAGGGGACACATTCAGATATACAGAGATAAGGTAACAGGGAATTGCATCAGTCTAGGAAGGATATCATGGTTGCTTTGTGAAGCCCACCCTAGCTCTGACTTCAGTTTATGTGATTCAGTGTTTTTCTTATTGTTTAAGATACCCTGACCTGGTTTTTTGTTACTTGCAGCTATTGTGCTCTGAGTGGTTACAAAATGTGATAGCAAGTGTATGGTGCTGAATCAAGGTAAAAGAGGTCAGTAAAAAGGATACCTTCCTCTTAAACTGGGAAGTTAATGGTCTTTGTTATGCAGTTATAAAAAAGTAATTTATAACAACACTTCTTCTGCCTTAGGAAATGATTATATACTCACAGAGGGTGGAACACAAAGATGATTGGAAAGAATCAGGATGTCAGATTGTGTTGGATTAGTCTTCCAGCCTTCACTGAGGTCTACAGTGTAGATACTGGATTAGCTTAAATTGAACGTTCTGCAAATAAGAGAAGGAATGAAAGAAAATCTCATTCTTTTCTGCCACTGGTCGGAAAAGCAAATTATTTCAAATGCACTAATGTGGAGTTTGATAAGGAAAGGAATGCCAAGTCTTATCCCTAAGGTGAAGTTTTTGTTAACAATTCAGGATAATAGGAGTCATAGAAGGTTGACAAGATTAGTATACAATGTGAGCCTACTCTTCAGACCTCTTTCAAGCAAATTCTGCTAAACATTCCCAACTGAGGAAGTAGTTAGCCATGCCATTAAGAATATGCAGATAGAATTTAATCTGGGGTTAATTATGAAAGTTATGGTATCCTTGTACCTAAGGGCTTGTTTGTTTGTTTTTTTTTATTGCTCTGAGGCAGCCGTCAAGATAAAGGTGCCAATCAAGGTCCAAGGGAATGGACAGTGAACAGAAGCTTGCTGCGAGAAAATGAAATGATCAGAATCAGACTTTGACCGGATAAACTACTGTGGAGACCATACTTGCTAATTTTTGCATGCAAAAGATCAAAGTCTCCTAACTTTTTAAGGGAACTATGCTGCCAAAGATACTCCAGGCCTGGCTCAAAGCACTCTTTAATTACTCAAACACAGGCCATCTTCAGGCCCTCAGATTTGCACCTAGTGGGACTGGACTACAAATGCCACACCATCTCTAGAAAGGACACTCTCTTCCATGTCCATTTTCAATGTGGTCATGAAAGAAAATGGACAGAGACCCATCCTACCAGTGGAACTAAGTACTGTCAATTTGGCTAACCAAGGATCTCATTTCTCTTTCAGGTAATGAGATACTTGATATTCCTGTCCAAGAGGATGTGGTATCTACATATAGGAGGAAAGACCTACGTGTACATGTGGTGGCTGAACCATTTGATTGTGGTGAATATTGCTGAACACTTACTATTTATCAGTCTTCCTTTTCCTCTTCCTAACAGCATGACTGTGTTCATTCATGTGTCTAAGGAAACTAAAAAACAACAAAAATAGAACTGTGGCCACTGAATCAATGTGCTCCACCCTGTACTTTTATATAAGCCAATACAGTTCTTTATTTTTTAAACAAATTTGAAGCGGGTTTTCTGTTACGTGTATTCAAATTCACTTTGAAAATGATATATAAGGTTAATAATTGCATGATATACAAATGCAGATATGAGCGTAATTCCTAAAAGAGACATTACTGAGCTGAAACAAAAGGAAAGTAGTAATTTGCAAAGACAAGAGAGAGAGATGATATGCAGTTTAAGTAGAATTTGGACTACCTTAGTACCATTATTTAGTGTGGGGTGTTCTAGTGGAAGATACCCTAACTCCACTTCAGTAAGAGAAGAATCAGTGGACATGGGTGTGCTACGTTAAGGGAATGAGTTAACAACACACTGAGAAATGGTTAACATTATCTGATGTAACATTATGCTATACAGAGCAGAGAACTGGAAAGGATAGAGAAATAATAGCTATGGTGACTTTAGATAACAGGAGATGAAGAAGATGACAGCAGCAGGAACAAATACTAAGAACAAGATGGGTCAATGTCATCGGCAACTAATACAGTAATATGAATAGCCAAGAGTTGAGGATACAAAATCAAAAGCCTAGAAGTAATTGAATCAATAAGCCAGAAATGTGTAAGATGATAGATGGCAACCAGCAACTGACCCCAGGCCCGGGTTGGGGAAACAGAGAGATGTTGTGAGCTGTGCTGAAAGGGAGAGTATGGGCCCCATTTAAAGAGCCTGCCCCTCCTTAGCTCCTGCGGGCCCCTTTCATGCAGGACTGTGGGATGCCATTGCCGGAGCTGCCCATTATGGTACATGCTGGATCCAGATTTTTATGAGAAAACTCCTTATTTTAAAATGTTGAAAACTAATTCAAATTTAAAACACTGTGTAGGCCTACACTAGGCAGGCCAAAAAGCAACAACAAAAAAGTATCTGTATGCTGTGTTAGGTCCCAAAGCCACCAGTTTTCTATATCTGGCCTAGGGGAATTTTTTAGGAACAAATATTTCTCAAAGTAAACAAACCATTTTCTGAAGTTCAGCAATTCCTACAGTTTTATTTATTCCTTCTTTTGTTGCTGTTAAACTTCAGTAAAGTTTAATTTTTTTTTAATTTTAAAGTCATGTAGAACTTGAACCATTTTAATATATCTCCTTCTTTGTATAGGTAGTTCAAAGGGTAGTTATAGATAAATAAATACACATATAAAATTATATATATGTACACATGCGGTAGGGCTAAACAAAAAAAAAGAAAGTACAAGTATTCAAAATTAAGAATGAGAATGGAGTTGATATCAACAGATGCAAAGATAAATATGAATACATTAATAAATCCCACAAAATAGATGACATTCTGCAAAAAAAAAAAAAAATCAGCTCATTCAAAAATAGAAATAGAACATAGTTATATGCCAGTGAGTGAAAAATTTGTCAAAGAATACACCATTGAAAGTATTTTGTCTCTATTTTTATACTTTCCAGTTGTCAACTTTACAATTTTGAGGAAAACAGTTACACTTGTAAAGTATCCATTCTCTGAAGATCCATTGTGTTTGATACAAACTAACTACATTTTAGTTGCATGTAGAATATTTTCAGACTTTTTTACATTGACAAAAACTGATTTAAAAAGTTAAAATATTCATATTAACAAAAAGATGACAAGTCTAAAAAGAAAAGAATTCTAAAGCTTATAAACAGAAATGCTAAATTTTTTTGGTAGCCTCAAAATTTGGATAACAGAAAATACTTTTCAGAATATTACTTGTTTAGAATCATTTTTCCCATTTAAAGTATACAATTCAATAACTTTTAATATAGTCATAGTTGTGCAACTATCACCACTACCTAGTTTTAGAACATTTTCATTACCCCTAAAAGACATCCTGTACCCATTAGCAGTCATTTGTCATTCTTCTTATTCCCTCCTCCCTCAAACCATTAATCACCCCTCGCCATCTTAGCCATGGTAGATCACTAGTCTAATTTCTATCTCTATATAGTTGCCAATTCTGGACATTTCATGTAAATGGAATAATAATATATATGGTCTTTTTTAACTGCCTTCTTTCACTTAGAATGTTTTCAAGATTGATCCATGTTGTGTCATGTACCCATACTTCATTTTTTAAAGAATTACTAAATCATATTCCTTTTTCTGGATATACCACATTTTTAATCCATTTATCAATTAATAGATATGTAAGTTACTTATTTCCACTTTAGGCAATTATGAATAATGCTGCTATGAACACCTGTGTATCGAATTTTGTGTGAATGTGTTATAATTCCTCTTGAGTATACACCTAAGAATGGAATTGCTTGGTCACATGGTAACTCTGCTTATTATTTTGAGGACATGACAAACTGTTTTCCAAAGTGACTGCATCATTTTACATTCCCATCAGCAATGTATGAGGATTTCAATTTATCCACATCCTTGCCAACATGTTATTATTTTTATTTTTGATTATAGCCATCCTAATAGGTGTGATTTGGTATCTCCTTTTGGATTTGATTTGCATTTACCTAATGGATGATGATAAGCATCTTTTCATGTGTGCTTATTTATCATTTGTATATCTTCTTTAAAAATATATTTATTCAGATCTTCTGTCCATTTAAAAGTTACATTATTCAAATTTATATTATTGAGTTGTAAATGTTTTTATATATTCCGTATATAATTCTGTATCAGATACAAAATTCGTAAAATACTTTATTCCATTCTGTGGGTTGTCTTTTCCTTTTATGTGTCTTTTCCTTTTATGGTATCATTTGCAGCACAGAAGTTGTTCGTTTTTTTGTTTGTTTGTTTCGTTTTTTGTTTTTGTTTTTGTTTTGAGATGGAGTCGTGCTGTGTTGCCCAGGCTGGAGTGCAGTGGCGCAATCTCGGCTCACTACAAGCTCCGCCTCCCGGGTTCACGCCATTCTCCTGCCTCAGCCTCCCAAGTAGCTGGGACTACAGGCACCTGCCACCACACCCAGCTAACTTTTTTTGTATTTTTAGTAGAGAACCATGTTAGCCAGGATGGTCGCAATTTCCTGACCTCGTGATTGGCCCACCTTGGCTTCCCAAAGTACTGGAAGTACAGACGTGAGCCACCGCACCCAGCCAAAAGTTTTTAATTTCGAAAAAAATTCTTTTTTTTTTGTTTGGTCTTGTCACTTGTGCATTTGATATTGTCTCTAAGACATTATTGCTCAATCCAAGGGCACAAAGATTTATACGAATGTTTTTGTCTAATAACTTTATAATTTTAGCTATTTCGTATATATCTATAATCAATTTTGACTTAATTTTTGTATAGTGCAAACAAAGAGTACAGATTCTTTCTTTGGCATGTGGATATGCATTGTTTCCAGTAACATTTGTTGAAAAAATCTTTTTTATTGAATTTTCTCAACACTTTTGTAGAAAATCAATTGGTCACTAATGTGCAGTTTTACTTCCAGAGTCTCTACTGGAATCCATAGATCTATATGTCTATTTTTATACCAGGACTACCCTGTCTTG